ACTGGCAGGAGTTGCAGGAGAAAGATGGTGACGTCCAAGAGTCACAATTTTTGGGCAACATCAGGATCTGCATGCAATAATCAACATTTGGGTGGATGTTTTCCTGCATTCCCATCTCCCCTTTGCCCCGCGGGGCTCCGGGCGGCCGTGACCCTGCTGGAGTTCGGGGGGGACCTCCAGTCCCCCGGGGGGTCCCTGCGCCTCCTCTGCTGAGGGTCCGAGTTCGATTTCGGGAGTGTTGACATGTTCTGGATCCGCCAGAGACCCGGGCAGGGGTTGCAATACGTCGCAAGGTTCTACAACACTGGAGGTTACACCGTCTACGCGCCGTCGGTCAAGGGCCGGTTCAGGATCTCCAGGGACAACGGGCAGAGCTCGGTGACGCTGACCATGAACAACCTCAAGGACAAGGATTCCGCCACCTATTTCTGTGCCAAATGTTACAGTAGTAGTTGTTCTGGTGGTGCTGCTGCTTATGGTGTAGATGGTGGTTGTGGTCTTGAGCCCTTTCTTCTGTGTTCCCAGGTATCACAGAATTCTCTGATCCTTACCCCTGGTTCCAGCCCTTTTTATTAAATCTTCACCATTTCCTCCAAACTCCTCCCCTGTTGCCGCAATTTTTGGTTTCCCCCCATATTTCCCCATTTCTCCCCAGTCTGTCCCTTCCCCTCCATCCCAGTGCGGAACGGGGCTCGCTCCAGGGCCCTTTGCACACAAAGCTTTTTGTGCAGCCGGCGCTCTGCCGCAGCGCCCCGAGGCTGAGCTGCCCTCTGCCAAACCCAGATGTTCACAATGACCAAAACCAGCAACTTTCTGTTTCCTTTCCTGCCCCGGCCGGGCCCCGGCAGCTGCCGGGGAGGAAGTGGGGGGAGGCTGCGGAGCCCCAAAATCGCGGCGTCTTCTCCTCCCTCCCTCCCTCCCTCCCTCGCTCCCACCTGGGGCTTCACTTCTCCCTCAGCGGCCTTGGTGTCTGGGGCTGCTCCTTGGGGCTGGGCTGGAATCCTCTCTGGGGGGTATGGAGAAATGACCCTTTTTTAACCAAAAACACATGAAATTTTGGGGAGATGAAATTGTTGAAATTGATCTCGATCCAAGGGCTCCATGCTGAGAGAAGCAGATGGGTGCAAGAGTGGAGTCACCTGGAACGTTCCATCGGTCAAGGGCCGGGTCAGCACGGCCAGGGACAGCGGGCTGAGCTCGGTGACGCTGGCCATGTGTGACCACAGGGGAAAGGTCTGGGGACAGCTGAGGACATGGGGATGGGGACATAGCCAAAAGCACCGGCAGTGTCAGCATTGCCACCAGAAATACGCTTGGCACAGAAATACGATCCAGAATCCTCGTCCTTGAGGCTGTTCATGGTCAGCGTCACCGAACTCTGCCCGTTGTCCCTGGAGATTGTGAACCGGCCCTTGACCGACGGCGCGTAGAAGGTGTTGACACCATCAGCGTTGATCCCAGCAATGAATTCAGGCGCCTGCCCGGGTCTCTGGCGGATCCAGTACATTCCATAATTCCCAAATTTGAACCCGGACCCTCAGCAGAGCAACGTCAGGGACCCCCCGGGGGGCTGGAGGTCCCCCCCGCACTCCAGCAGGGTCACGGCCGCCCGGAGCCCTGCGGGACAAAGGGGAGATGGGGATTAGAAACCTGTTTGGCTGTGGGCCTCAAAGTGGGTGTGTCAAACGGGAAAATGGGGTGGGACCCACCTGAGAGGGGCAGCAGGAACAGGACAACTAGGATGGGGTGGTCCAAAGGTCCCAGTTTGGGGCCCAGAGTCAGGATTTGGGTCAAGGGTTTGAGCTTTGGCCTCATCCCCATCTCCCTTTCTCCCGCAGGGCTCTGGGCGGCCGTGACCCTGATGGAGTGCAGGCGGGACCACCAGCCCCCCGGGGGGTCACTGCGCCTCCTCTGCTGAGGGTCCGGGTTCAGTTTCAGCAGCTCTGACATGCTCTGGATCCGCCAGAGACCCGGTCAGGCGCTGGAATCAGTTGCAGGGATCAACACTGGTGTAGGCACCACCGACTACGCGCCATCTGTCAAGGGTCGGTTCAGGATCTCCAGGAACAACGGGCAAAGCACGGTGACGCTGACCATGAACAACCTCAAGGACGAGGATTCCGGGTCCTATTTCTGTGCCAAATTTGCTGGTGCCGGTAATTGGGATGCTGCTCCAGTTTATCCTTTTGGCCTTTTCCCTGTTCCCCACACCCTTCCCCCATACCCCAATCCCTGACCCCATCCCTCAGCCTGTGTCCCAGCCCTGCTCTGGCTCTGCCCCACATGTAGCCTCTGGGCCACACTCAGTGCCGTCGTTCCCCAAAAGTTACCGAAATATCTGGATTTGGGCCCAAAGTAAAGATCAGGGATCAAGAATTCAAATTTTAGCCCAAAATACCTGATGTGAGGCCAACGGCGCAGATTTGGGTTGGTGGCTGGGACTCGATGCCCGCAGGGGAGATTTGGGCTGAAACTTGACAAGTCTGGGGGCAGTGGTTGGGATTGGAGGGACGAGGCTGAGCTCAGGGTGAAACCGGCCCTGATTTGGGGCCAGGAGCTGAGATTTGGGGCCAGGAGCTGAGATTTGGGGCCAGAGCAGGGCAGGGTTGGGACACAAGGACAGGAATGGGGTCAGGGGCTGGGGTTTTGGGGAAGAGTCTGGGGAACGGGGACGGGAGGGGAGGCAGGGATGGGGCCGAAACGTCAAACATCAGCAGCATAAGGAGCAGCACCAGGATCAGTGCGTTTGGCACAGAAATAGGATCCTGAAACCTCGTCCTTGAGGTTGTTCATGGTAAGCGTCACCGAGCTCTGCCCGTTGTCCCTGGAGATCGTGAACCGGCCCTTGAACGATGGCGCATACCCGGTCCAACCACCATTGTAGCTGATACTCGCAACCCACTCCAGTCCCTGCCCGGGTCTCTGGTGCACCCAGAGCATTGCGTAGCTTCCAAAACTGAACCTGGACCCTTGGCAGAAGAGGCGCAGGGACCCCCCCGGGGGGCTGGAGGTCCCCCCTGCACTCCAGCAGGGTCACGGCCGCCCGGAGCCCTGCGGGACAAAGGGGAGATGGGGATGGACAAAGCTCAACCCTCGAGCGAAATCCTGACTCAGGGCCCTAAACTGAGACCCTTGGACCTCCTCTGCCGCAGCGCCCAGAGGCTGAGCTGCCCTCTGCCAAGCATAGATGTTCACAATGACCAAAACCAGGAACTTTCTCTTTCGTTCCCTGCCCCGGCCGGGCCCCGGCAGCTGCCACGGAGGAAGTGGGGGGAGGCTGCGGAGCCCCAAAATCGCGGCGTCTGCTCCTCCCTCCCTCCCTCGCTCCCACCTGGGGCTTCACTTCTCCCTCAGCGGCCGCGGTGTCTGGGGCTGCTCCTTGGGGCTGGGCTGGAATCCTCTCTGGGAGCTCTGGACATGGCGACGATGCTGGTGGTGGCCCCAAACCCCCATCCCTGGCTCCCCAAATGTCCCAAAATCCCCAAATCCTGCCCCAAATCCCAACCCTTGACTCCATTCTTGACCTTCTCCCCAGTGTCCACCATCATTGCCCCAACATTCGACTTTCTCCCAATTTTTCCCATTTCACCCAAATCTCCGGCAGCTCTCTGGGCACTGATTGAAGGAGGCCTGAATTGGAGCCCAGCGGTGCAAGTTTGGGGCCAATGGTTGAGTTTTGGGGCAGGAGCAGGGGAGGGTTTGGAGTCAGTGCTGACCATTGGGGCAAATGGGGGAGATTTGGGACAAAGGGTCAAGGTTGCGATTCGGGGGAAGGGTCTGGGTTTGGGGAGAGGTGGGACTTGGAGATCGGCGTGGACCCATAACTGGCGTCTTCATCAGAAGAAGCAGCACTCCAATCATTATCATGGTCAGATTTGCACAGAAATAGGATCCGGAATCCTCGTCCATGAGGTTGTTCATGGTCAGCGTCACCGAGCTCTGCCCGTTTTCCCTGGAGATCCTGACCCGGCCCTTGACCGATGGCGCGTACGCGGTGTACGCACCACTGCTCCAGATCCCTGCAACATATTCCAGCCCCTTCCCGGGTCTCTTGCAGATCCAATACATGGTAAAACTGCCAAAACTGAACCCGGACCCTCAGCAGCGTAGGCGCAGGGACCCCCTGGGGGGCTGGAGGTCCCCCCCGCACTCCAGCAGGGTCACGGCTTCCCGGAGCCCTGCGGGAAAAAGGGGAGATGGGGATGAGAAACCTGATTGGCTGAGGGACTTAAAGCTGGTGTGGCCAGAGGGAAAAAGGGGCAGGACCCACCTGGGGGGAGGATGATGAACTCGCAGGGTCCCAATTTGGGGCCCAGAGTCAGGATTGGGGTCAAGGGTTTAGCTTTGGCCTCATCCCCATCTGCCCTTTGTCCCTCAAGGCTCCGGGCGGCCGTGACCCTGCTGGAGTGAGGGGGGGACCTCCAGCCCCCCAGGGGATCCCTGCGCCTCCTCTGCTGAGGGTCTGGGTTCAATTTCGGCAGTTTTGCCATACAATGGGTCCGCCAGAGACCGGGGCAGGTATTGGAATGGGTCACCTACATCAGGAGTGATGGTTCCAACATTTACTATGCACCATCGGTCAAGGGCCGTGTCACGATCTCCAGGGACAACGGGCAGCGCTCGGTGACGCTGCCCATGAACAACCTCAAGGACGAGGATTCCGGATCCTATTTCTGTGCCAAGGGTGCCTACAGCAATTGGGGTTCTGGTCCTGATCGTGTTGAACCCATGCCCTTGTCCCACCCAGACCGGCTGTCCCCGACCCTTCTTCCAAACCTCAGCCCCTGACCCCATTCCTGAGCCCATGTCTCAACACTGCACTGGCTCGGCACCAAATTCTGCACTCTTGTCATTAGAGTTGACCGAAATTTTGACCCAAACCTTGACTGCCAGCTTTGGAGCAAAATCTTGGGGCACAAAGAGATTTGGGCTCAGGAGTTGTGGTTTGGGGTCAGCGGGTGAGAATTGGGGCCGAGAAAGAGCAAGGTTGGGATCAATGGTCAAGGGCTTGGTGTGGGCTGGGGCTTTGGGGGAAGGGTCTGGGCAATAGGGACAGGGGGGCACACGGAGATGGGGGTGGCACCGACATCAATACGAGGAGCACCAGCACGAGCGTTGTAGAATTTGTCACAGAAATAGGATCCAGAATCCTCGTCCTTGAGGTTGTTCATGGTCAGCGTCACCGAGCTCTGCCCGTTGTCCCTGGAGATCCTGAACCGGCCCTTGACTGAATCTGCGTAGCCGGTGCCTCCACCAGTGTAGCTGATCCCCGCAATCCACTCCAGGCCCTGCCCAGGTCTCTGGTGAACCCAATCCATCCCAAAATTCCCAAAACTGAACCCGGACTCCTGGAAGAGGAGGCGCAGGGACCCCCCGGGGGGCTGGAGGTCCCCCCCGCACTCCAGCTGGGTCACGGCTGCCCGGAGCCCTGTGGGAAAAAGGGGAGATGGGGATGGGGCGATGCAAAAGTCAGGCAGAGCTGTCCAAGTAATTAATGGGTGCATTGGGGCTAATTGCGTGGTTTAAGGCACTTTACCATTCAGGATACATCTGTTGGATGTTTGGGGACAAAAAAAGGGAATTTGGGGCAAAACCGGTGAAGGTTTGGGGATGGGAGTGCAGCCGTGACCCTTCTAGAGTCCGGGGGGGACCTCCAGCCCCCGGGGGGGTCCCTGCGCCTCCTCTGCCAAGGGTCCGGGTTCAGTTTTGGGGATTATGGAATGTTCTGGATCCGCCAGAGACCCGGGCAGGGGCTGGAGTGGCTAACAGGGATCAGCAGTGGTGCTTACACCGAGTACGCGGGTTCAGTCAAGGGCCGGTTCAGGATCTCCAGGGAAAACGGGCAGAGCTCGGTGACGCCGACCATGAACAACCTCAAGGACGAAGATTCCGGATCCTATTTCTGCACCAAGGCTGCTGGTGCCAGTTGGGGTAATGGTGTCTCTGCTCTTGGCCTCTTCCCCTTGACTGGGTCCCCTCCTGCCCCCAGGCCCCAGACCCTTCCCCCAAATCTCAGTCCTTGACCCCATTCTTGACCCTTTGCCCCAGATCTCCCCCAGTTCCCACACCACCAACCGCAGCGCCAAAACCCCCAATCGCGTTCTGCCCCAAATCCATCTATATTGGCCCCAAAAATGGCCCTAATCTGCCCCAAATCCCCATTTTGTGCTCCCTGCAGCAGCAGCCGCTGACACGAATCCTCAACCTTTGTCCCCAAATCGGGACTCTTGGCCTCAAACCCCGACCTTCAGAGCAAAGTTTTAGGGCACAAAGTGGAGATTTGGGGTCAGGAGTTGTGGTTTGGGGTCAGTGGGTGAGAATTGGGGCCGAGGCAGAGCAAGGTTGGGATCAATGGTCAAGGGCTGGGTGTGGGCTGGGGGTTTGGGGGAAGGGTCTGGGCAACAGGGACAGGGGGATCACAGGGATGGGAGAGGGGACACCTTGGGCATCGTCAATACGACCAGCACTTTCAGCGTAATTATTAGCAGCACACTTGGCGCAGAAATAAACGGCGGAATCCTCGTCCTTGAGGTTGTTCATGGTCAGCGTCACCAAGCTCTGCCCGTTGTCCCTGGAGATCCTGAACCGGTCCGTGAATGACAGGGCGTATCTGGGAGTGGCGCCATCACTGGTGACACTCGCGACAAACTCCAGCCCCTGCCCGGGTCTCTGCCGCATCCAGCCCATCCCAAAATTGCCAAAATCGAACCCGGACCCTCGGCAGAGGAGGCGCAGGGACCCCCCGGGGGGCTGGAGGTCCCCCCCGCACTCCAGCAGGGTCACGGCCGCCCGGAGCCCTGAGGGACAAAGGGGAGATGGGGATGGGAAACCTGATTGGTTGAGAACCTCAAAGTGGGCGTGGCCAACGGGTAAAAAGGGACAGGACCCACCTGGGGGGAGGATGATGAACCCCAAGGGTCCCAGTTTTGGGACAAGAGTCAGGATTTGGGTCAAGGATTGAGCTTTGGCCTCATCCCCATCTCCCCTTTGTCCCACAGGGCTCCGGGCGGCCGTGACCCTGCTGGAGTGCGGGGGGGACCTCCAGCTCCCGGGGGGTCCCTGCGCCTCCTCTGCCGAGGGGCTGGGTTCGATTTTGGACAATTTGGGATGCGCTGGATGTGCCAGAGACCTGGGCAGGGGCTGGAACACATCCGAGGGATCCAAAGCGATGGCAGCACCTACTACGCACCATCGTTCAAGGGCCGGGTCACGATCTCCGGGGACAACGGGCAGAGCTCGGTGACGCTGACTATGAACAATCTCAAGGACGAGGATTCCGGATCCTATTTCTGTGCCAGATGCAGTGATGGTGGTTGGAATGGTGCTGCTGTTGCTTATGGTGACAATCTTCAGCATCACCCCAAGGCCGCTGCCCGAGTTCCCAAAATTTCCCAAATTACTTCTCCCAAATCCCAACCCTTGACCCCATTCTTGACCTTACTCCCCAGTCTCCACTATTGCTGTCCGAATTCCTGATGTTTCCCCAGTTTTGCCCATTTCACCCAAATCTCCCCCAGCTCCCCAGGCCCTGATTGGCTGAGCTGGCACAGGCAGAAATGGGAACTCTTGGAGAGCAAGGCCTGAACTGGAGGCCAGGGGTGAAGGTTTGGGGCCAATGGTTGAGTTTTGGGGCAGGAGCAGGGGAGGGTTTGGGGTCAGTGCTGACCATTGGTGCAAACGGGGGAGATTTGGGACAAAGGGTCAAGGGCTGAGGTTTGGGGGACAATTTGAAGGGAGAATCTCAGTTTGGGGACAGGTGAGGACGCAGAGATGGGGTGAATCCACCACGGCCATCGTCACTATAAGCAGCAGCACCAGCACCATGACCACAACCAGCAAGTTTGGCACAGAAATAAGATCCGGAATCCTCGTCCTTGAGGTTTTTCATGGTCAGCGTCACCGAGCTCTGCCCATTGTCCCTGGAGATCGTGACCCGGCTGTTGACTGAATCCGCGTAGCCGGAGTTGCCACCATCGTTCCTGATCCACACGAGCCACTCCAGCCCCTGCCCGGGTCTCTGTCGAATCCAGAACATGTCGTAGCTCCCGAAACTGAACCCGGACCCTCGGCAGAGGAGGCGCAGGGACCCCCCGGGGGTCTGGAGGTCCCCCCCGCATTCCAGCAGGGTCACGGCCTCCCAGAGCCCTGCGGGACAGAGGGGAAATGGGGATGAAGCCAAAGCTCAACCCTTGACCCAAACCCTGACTCTGGGCCCGAAACTGGAACCTTTGGACCACCCCATCCTAGTTGTCCTGCTCCGGCTGCCCCTCTAAGGTGAGTCCCACCCCATTTTCCGGTTTGACACACCAACTTTGTGGCCCTCAGCCAATCAGGTTCCTCATCCCCATCTCCCCTTTTTCCCGCAGGACTCTGGGCGGCCGAGACCCTGCTGGAGTGCGGGGGGGACCTCCAGCCCCTCGGGGGGGTCCCTGCGCCTCCTCTGCCAAGGGTCCAGGTTCGTTTTCAGTAGTTTTGGGATGGGCTGGCATTGCCAGAGACCCGGGCAGGGGCTGGAAGCAGTCGCCAGTATCAGCAGCCATGGCAGCGCCTACTATGTGGATTCGGTCAAGGGCCGGTTCAGGATCTCCAGGGACAACGGGCAGAGCTCGGTGACGCTGACCATGAACAACCTCAAGGACGAAGATTCCGGATCCTATTTCTGTGCCAAATCTTACAGCACTGGTAGGGCTGCTGCTGCTGTTGCTTATATTGACCATGCCAGTGGTGGCATCACCATTTCTGAGCCCCACCTGTTCCCAAATCTCAGACCCTTCCTTCAAATGTTAGCTCTTGACCCCATTCTTGACCATTTGTCCCAGATCTCCCCCATTTCCAACACCACCAACCACGGAGCCACAACCCGCGAACTGCTTCTGCCCCAAACCCAACTAAGTTGGCACCAAACCTCGCCCGAATCTGCCCCAAATCCCCACTTTATGCTCCCTGCAGCAGCAGCCACTGACCGAATCCTCAACCTTTGTCCCCAAATAGGGACCCTGGGCCTCAAACCCCGACCTTCAGAGCAAAGTTTGGGGCACAAAGAGGAGATTAGGGGTCAGGAGTTGTGGTTTGGGGTCAGCGGGTGAGAATTGGGGCGGAGGCAGAGCAAGGTTGGGATCAATAGTCAATGGCTGGGTGTGGGCTGGGGGTTTGGGGGAAGGGTCTGGGCAATGGGGACAGGGAGGGGATAAGGGGATGGGGATGGGGACACCATGGGCATCGTCACTACGAGCAGCATGTTCAGGGTAATTATTAGCAGCACGCTTTGCGCAGAAATAAACGGCGGAATCCTCATCCTTGAGGTTTTTCATGGTCAGCGTCACCGAGCTCTGCCCGTTGTCCCTGGAGATCGTGACCCGGCCCTTGACCGATGGCGCGTAGATGGTGTTGGCACTATTGTAGTGGATTCCTGCGACGTATTCCAAAGCCTGCCTGGGTCTCTGGCAGATTCAGTACATTCCATAATCCCCGAAAATGAACCCGGACCCTCGGCAGAGGAGGCGCAGGGACCCCCCGGGGGGCTGGAGGTCCCCCCCGCACTCCAGAAGGGTCACGGCCACCCAGAGCCCTGCGGGAGAAAGGGGAGATGGGGATGAGAAACCTCATTACTCTAGAGCTTCAAAGTGGGCATGGCTGCAGGTAAAAGGGGCAGGACCCACCTGGGAGGAGGAGGATGATGAACTCCAAGGGTCCCAGGAGGGGCCAAGTGTCAGGTTTTGGGTCAAGGGTTGAGCTTTGGCCTAATCCCCATCTCCCCTTTGTCCCACAGGGCTCCAGGCGGCCGTGACCCTGCTGGAGTGCGGGGGGGACCTCCAGCTCCCCAGGGGGTCCCTGACGTTGCTGTGCCGAGGGTCCAGGTTCGATGTCGGCGCCATCACCATGTTCTGGGTCCACCAGAAACCCGGGCAGGGGCTGGAGTGGGTTGGGAGCATCAGGAAGGAGGGCTGGAACTCCATGTACGCGCCTTCCGTGCACGGCTGGTTCAGGATCTCCAGGGACAACGGGCAGAGCTCAGTGACGCTGACCATGAACAACCTCAAGGTCGAGGATTCCGGATCCTATTTCTGTGCCAGGGCTGCTGATGGTTATACTGCTGCTGCTAATGGTGACGATGCCCCTGATGGTCTCAAGCTCCTGCCGTTCATCCGACTCCCATCATTGAGTCCCCAGAGTTCTGCTTTTCATCCCAAACCGCACCCATTTACCCAGCCCTTGACCCTTTGTCCCCATTTGCACCAATGGACAGCACTGACCCAAAACCCTCCTCTGCTCCTGCCCCAAAACTCAACCATTGGCCCCAAACCTTCTCCCCTGGGCTCCAGTTAAGGCCTCCTCCAATCAGGGCCCGGGAGCTGGGGGAGATTTTAGTGAAATGGGCAAAATTGGGGAAACATCAGGAATTCGGACA